CCTGGAATAGGCTAACTGATGTCAACTGAACTAGAATAGAGGTAGTGACAGATTGTATTTTCCTGGGGCTTCAAGATCACTGCAGATGGGGATTGCAGCCAAGAAATTAAAAGATCCTGCTCCTGGGAAGGAAAGCTCTAGCAAATCTAGACAGCATACTAAAAAGCAGAGACAGTGCCCTGCCAACAAAAGTGTGTATAGTCAAGGCTATGGTTTTTCCAGTTGCAATGTATGGCTGTGAAAGTTGGACCATAAGAAAGGCTGAGCGCCTTATTATGCTTCCTCCTATTCTAAGTCATTCTATTATTTTAGCATTGATAAATAACATTCTCTTAATAATTTTCAATTCCATGTTTTTTTTTCCTAAGAAAAAAGGTCTTAGTTATTTTAAGTTGGCTCCCCATGACTTGCTTCCAAAATTGCCACAAAACTTTGAGGAGTGCCTTTTTGGAAAAATGGAGGATTCCTAACTTTGGATGAATTTTTACTCAACTTTCTGCAATTTTAGTGGCCGCCAGATGTTTGGCCTTCAATGACCAGCATGGCAATGAGTGGATTATGTGGAATTATATGAGTTGAGGTCCACACACCTGGGAGGGCAACCAGGATGGGAGAAGATATGTGCTGTTTGTTGCCATGTTGATGGAAATACGAGATAATAAGGATAATTATTGTCCTTTTCTTTCAAACCTAAGAGTCGGTTAACTCTTAAAGTAAGCCGTGTGTTCTTCAAAGCAAGCATGGCTGCTCTATAAAGAGCTAAAGAGAACTTTCCTCTCTGTAACTATTCAGGATTAAGCTGCCTTTTATGACTCTGCTATTAAGAATCTTATTTGAAACATTTTGTTTGGAAGGCAGGCTTTCCTCTTTGCAGATGAAAGACTTCCATTATCAAGATCCTGTAAATATATTGTAGATATTAAATGCTTCCTTTGTAGATCTTATAAGTGTTCAGCTTGTGAAGCAAGATTAGCTGTATTTCTTGCTTATCCATCAACAAATATTGCTAATTATTCCTCAAAGGGAGAATAAGAAGAAATTAGGGATTTTTAAAAAAGTTTTATATAAAGAACTTTTTCTCTAAAATGTTGCCATATAAAATATTTCAACAAAATGTTACATTCCAAATTTAACCAACCGTTGCACTTAAACAACTGGACGGGTTTATTTTTTGATTTGAAACTTTTCAATTTATTGACCTTCATTTAATGGTAGTCCTTGAATCCAGCTATTGTTTTTGACTTTAAATACTATATAAGAGGGAATTAAAATCATTTCATTCAAATGATTTTATTATAAGAAATAAGGTAGAATCTAATTAAAATAAAGTTTTAATTGTCGGATTACCCTGGCAATGTTTTATGGTTTTCTTCTGCCCCCCCCCCCTCCAAATGCTCTGACAGGCTGTTTTCCAAAATTTCACTTCGCTGAGGACATTTTCTTCACTGAGGTAGAAAACATGCGGGCCACATGCTGCCAAAATTTGGTAAAATATGAGGAGGCTAACATTAAAAAAAGGACAAAAATGCTTATGATAAAATAAATATCGTTAATACGTCTTCATTATTCAGGGAGCAAAGCCTCTAGCTGTCGGACCTGGGGGGGGGGGAAGCTGTATACCTGGTTTTGTAGATCAGCCATGTAGTTGCCATTGGAATTATTTAATGTATGTAGTGAACTCCAGACTAGAAGTGGGAATCTGTAATACTCACTTTCATGATGACTGTTATGCACGAGACTTACCCGTATTTTTCGGACTATAAGACACACCACAGTATAAGACGCACCATGATTTTGAAGAGGTAAATTTTAAAAAAAAGTTTTTGTACTCTGCAGCCCTCCCAAGCACTCTGCACGATTTTTTGCAAAGAAAAAAAAAAGGCATGCAGAGCTTTGGGAGGCTTGTAAAGTGCTCCTGGGGGCTGGGGGGGAGGCAAAAACGAGCAAAAACCAGCCTGTTTTTTGCAAAAACGGACTATTTTTTTGTTCTTTTTTGCCCTCCCCAGCCCTCAGGAGCACTTTGCAAGCCTCCCAAATACTGTGCATGGCCATTTTTGCAAAGGGGGCGGGATTTTGGTAGGCCAAAAATGCTGTATTTGGTGTATAAGACGCACCCAGATTTTCACCCTCTTTTTTGAGGGAAAAAGGTTCGTATTATACTCCGAAAAATATGCTGTTCCTTCGAGACACTGCTAAGTAGTTAGGTAAATATACTCAAAGGGAAGCCATTTTGAATTATGGGTACTAATAAGAAGCTTCTCTATTGGGTGCTTTAGGCCACAGATTTTGGGATCTTTGTGAGGTAATCGTGCAATGCCTTAGTCAACACTCTTCTGGAAAACTGCTGATTTACTAGAATTTTGATTTTGAGTTGTGTTGTGTAATGCTATAAACTTGATTCTTGTTCACCAACCAGAGTCACTTTTAGTGATACGGGCAGCTATATAAATCTGACTGATACAATACAATACAGTAGCAGAGTTGGAAGGGACCTTGGAGGTCTTCTAGTCCAATCCCCTACTTAGGCAGGAAACCCTATACCATTTCAGACAAATGACTATCCAACATCTTCTTAAAGAGTTCCAGTGT